GGCAATTAAAGACGTAATAAAACAGACGATGAACACTATTAACAGCAATTATTATATGATGCAATCAAACTTATAGCAAAATGTGGTAGTTCTGTATGTTGTTTCAGGGTTGGCATCATCACGTGTGTGTGTGTGGTTTTATTAACAGGCACAGTCAAAGTGTGGGACTCCAGGCAGAAAGACACGCCTGTGGTGAACATGGAGCCCGTGGAGGGAGAAACCAAGAGAGACTGCTGGACCGTTGCTTTCGGTGGGTGTTTTTGTGACTCGTATTGGAGGTGTCCCATTAAAGCATAATGGGAATAAAGACTCTCATTCTGAGTTCTCATGGTCATGCAAAATCTCAAAATATCATTTTCATAGTGCATAGTGGGTTAGCGTCGTTCTGAACCCTTTTCTATAGTCTGAAAAGTTCATTCAAGGAAACAGTACATAGTACATAACATGAGGATGCGCAATGCTAGAGCTGTTACAGAAACAGGTCAATGACACCGACAGGGCAAATATGCAAATAAGCACGTTAACCCAGGTTTGAGGAATGTGCAGCTTATGAATACCCAGGATGCATTGTTAACCAAAGGTATATTATGAGCAGTGTGAAACATGAAGCGGGATGAACCTGGATTCTGTGTCCCCGGGGTTTAGCGTGACCCAGGGTTAACTATTTCAAACGTGAAAAGCCCTACTGTATTTAAAAACAGTCATTTCCAGGCCTTTAAACATCATTGGAAATAATACAATTCTTAAAACAACTGCATTTAATGCCCTTTGTGAATGCAGTCTCTATAAGCCTAATTTGATAAAACAACTGGAAAGTAGGGCTGTGCGATATGGACAAAAAAAACCTATCGCGATTTCTTTGATCAATTTTGCGATTTCAATTTTAATCACGATTTTGACACACGCAGACATGCTTTACAGTCATTAATGCATTCAGTGTGAATTTGAAACATATTTCCAAAAGAAAACCAATTAGAGCTTTATCAAGAAGCTGTAACATGTCTGTAGAACAGACATAAGGCAAAATAATCACTAAGTAAAGGTGCAACAAAATGTCTCTAGAATAGACATATGGCAGAAAAAATTTAAAAAAATCCTGTGTCCAGGGATTTTTTTTTGCCATGCTTTGGTCATAGAGCTCTTTGTGGCGTTGCCTCAGATGTTGAACTAGATTTGTTGCGCCACGTTCACACATACTCCGTCTGCAGTGCGTGTACAGTATATCAAATCCAAACGTTGTTTCTGAAAATGCTTATTCAGCATTGTGATTATCTTTTATCACAGTACAGTAATACAATCTTTCATAGATATATTCACGTTTAAACTCAATAAATATAACTTTGTTT